TACTTATGTAAAATATTATGCATTATCTTAAATTCAAATATAACTTGGAATTCTGTATTTTATCTGGCAAACCTACCTCAGAGACTTTTTCAAGTTTCCATTCACTGGTTTCAGATGGCAAAGGAGAGTGAATGAGTAACCCCAGGAGTTTAGGACATTGTCTAGAAAGATCTCCTCCAAGCCAGACAGTTTTTAAAGGTTGCTTTATCTTTAAAATAAAGTGTGGGTTTTTTATTTGTTTATTTTGGTTTGTTTTGCCTTCTAATCCACAATATATCCATGTTTGCTTTTAAGGAAAAGTAATGTGGCTGGCCCACCCACCTGTCAGCCCCAGTGGACTCATAAAGTTGACAATGCAAGCAGATGTATTCCTGAGATTTAGCAGATACTGGCAGGCCCACTAGCTCTCACCTTTTGGCTTACCCCTGCCTGGGGAAGCTCTTTTTACCTATTTTGATTTTTGGAAAGAATCACTTGGGTGTCCAGCCAAGAAGCTGATGATTTTTCTGCTCTAATCTATTGGGCTTTCTCTAAGTCTTCACACTCTAGGCCCCCCTCTCTTACCCTTCCATTGGCTCTTCTAACCTTCTGTCTTCCTCCCTCCTCCGTTCTTTGCCTCCCCTTTTGCTGTTCCTCTAGAATTATTGTTTTCTTTCCTCCCAGCTTCCTCCTGGCCTCTGACTAGACTCAATAAAAAGTTAGCTGTGGGCCTCCTATCCACTTTCTTTCCCCTTATCCCTCCTTCTGGTGGGGCTGTCCAGGTCCAAGCCAGGACAGATGTAGATAGTCTGCTGTAGGAATGGGTGGGAGGGAAGGATGAGGGGTGAATATAAGACATCTTGACAATTTGCTGCCCTTCCTGAGGAATGTTAATCAGAAACAGTGGCCCAAAGTCCAGAAATCAGAAGACAGGCTGGTAGAGGGAGGGGCTAGCAACTGAGCCAATGCGGGATGGGGAGGACGATGGGACCTATAGTGTGGGCTAAGCCAGGGACTCACAGGAGGGCTCGCTGAACAGTTTCTCACGTTCTCTCTTCTCAGGTCCATTGGCTTTGCATGGCTCCAGGCACAAACTAGAAAACAGGAGAGAAATCCAGGGTCACTTGGCTATCAGATAATTTTGAGAGAACACAGGGACTTGTTCTCCCAACCCTCCTTCCTGTCCTTTGTAGACCCTCACTTGTTTGAAAACACACAATGCTGTCCAACTCTCCTTGAGGATAAAAATAATCACATTTCATAGGAAATCAGAATGAATTGGCTGGCAACCTGGGTCACAATAAAAGAAACCTGATCCATTGCCACTTTGGGAACGGTTTTAGTACTAATTAAATCAAAATTTTCCTTCTAATCTAATTGGGTCTCTTCAGGGTCTACTGAACTGGAAAAGTTTTATGTAAATTAAATTTTTGTAATCAAATTTTTTTTTGAAATGCTAGGATCTCACTAAATAATCACCTACCTTCATTTTACCCTTCTATAAATCTAATTTCATATACATTGGGTTTACTTAAACTCAAGGCCCACTTGTATCATCTATATATATAAACAGCCAGTGACCATAATGGCCATAACAACCTTAACTACTGGTCGCTATAATGCCCACTGTGGCCAGCAAACCAGCTGACCAGGGAGTGGGGTTGGCCGACCAACCTTGCAGCTCCTCCCCACTGCCAGCCTGCCCCTGATTGGACTCGCCCATCCCCATAAAGAGCAGAGTTGGCTGGCCAAATGCTCCCCCTCCTCCTCCCCAATCAGCCGGCTCCACCACAAAGGCCTGCAGCCCCTCTTCTTGACCAGCCCAATAGGGGTGGGGCTGGCCAGCCAACCTCCCATAGCATCTCTCCCAGGCTGGCCCCACCCACCATGGGTCCCCACCACCCTGATCAGCCAGCAGCCCTTCCTCCTGGCCAGCCCTGCCCCTGACGGCTCCACCCCCACCCCAATAGGGATCGTGGCAGGCCAACCAATCTCCTGCAGCCCCTCCCCAACCCAGCTCCACCCCAGATTGGTCCCCCCACCCAGATCAGGGGCAAGACCAGCTGGCCAACCACTCAAGGCCCCTCTCCCAGGCCTCTGGCCCCCAACTGGCACCCCCCACTCCATTGGGGCAGGCCCATGGCCCACAGCCCCGCCCCATGGCTGGCCCCACCCCCAATCGGGGCAGGGCCCTCCAGCCAATCACCTGCTGCCCCTTCCCCTAGCAGGCTCAGCCCAGATCTTCTGGGCAGGCTGTCCAACCTCCTGCCATCTCCTCCTCCCAACAGGCACAGCCCCGATCCTCCCGATTGGGGCTGGGCCGGCTGGACCCCGCCCATGCACTGGGCCTCTAGTTTCATAAAATCCAAATCTCTGCCTATCATTCCAGGCCAGTTTGAAGTATGTAAGACAGGCAATCCCAGTCTGATATCATCACCTGGTGGGAAAAGGTGGGTTAGCATTAAAGAGCTCCTACTTTGTGCCAGACACTTAAGTCAACAATTTATTTATAGTATCTCATTTGATACCTGTAGCAATTCTGTGAGGTGAGTATTATTGTTTACTTTCTACAGAGGAGGAAACTGAGGCCCAGATCGTTTTAGTAACTTGACCAAGTTTTGCCACAGTAAGTCAGTGGTAGGTCAGTGGTTTGAAACTGGGCCATCGGAGTACAAAAATCCAACCATGGAAGGATAGTGCCTCAGAAAGGACAGAGTGCATGGAGAGACTTAGTTTCCAACTTGGGCTGGGCCCCAAATTTGGTGTGATCCAAGTAGGATTGCCAAGTATTCAGAGTGAACATTTCCTAAGTTCCTACTGTATGTCGGGGGCTGGGTTAAATCCTACAGGCTCTGGCCTTAAAAGTCCAGTGGTCTCTGATAGTCTGTCCCTCTAGCACCCCACCTTTAAAAATATTTTCATTGATTTCAGAGAGATAGGGAGAGGGAGAGAGAGATAGAAACACCAATGATGAGAATCACTGATTGGCTGCTTCCTGCATGCCCCTTTCTGGAGATTGAGTCCACAACCTGGCATGTGCCCTGATCGGGAATGGAACCACAACCTTCTAGTTCATAGGTCAACGATCAACCACTGAGCCATATTGGCTGGGATAGCACCCCGCCTTTTGAGAAATAATGGGGACCTGAGTATGGACACTCCCACTGCACTTTTACTGAGTGGGTTGAGCTATAGATAGAAGGAGGGTGACTGGCGTTTAACATCATAAATGCCCTGCCTGGTTGTCTTGGTCTTATAAACTCAAGGGGGAGATTAAATCTTATTGATTTAAAATAATGAATCCTCATTTCTGCAGGAGCAGATCTCTGACAAAATGATGGTGCTAAGATGCCAACATAAAAAGCAAGACTCAGCCAACCTATGTCCTGTTCTCTGAGGCCCAGGCTGTGGCTCCCAAGAGTAGGCTGTGCAGCCAAATCATTTTGTGGTCCCTGACACAGGGCCTGGCACTGGAGAGGTACTCAGGAACTGGGCACTGAATGAATGAGCAAAGTCCTGCTGACAGAGAGCAAAGCGAAGGAAGGCCTCTCTACAGCTTGAAGTGGAGTGGGTATGGAGGATGCTGAGCTGGGCAGTTAATTGTGACCAAAGAGGACAAATGGGGTACCATAAAGGGTGACAAAGACCAAGCTTTATTTATGCTTTTCCAAGCACTTTTCTCAATTAGACCTTGACTTTGGCCTGCCATGCCCATCCTATCCTTGATGGTCCCGAATCTACCAGTCTTAGAAAGAATATTCCTAAGTTAGTTTAGAGAGACTCCCCAACCCTTAATATCTGATTCCTCTTGATATCTGATCAAACTCCTCACTCCTACCCTTGGTATTTGATTACCATGGCCTGCCTTCCACAAGTATCCTATTAAGTCGATTTAGCAAGAATCTCCCTACCCTTGCCTAGCCAGCATGGCTCAGTGGTTGAGTGCCTATGAACCAGGAGGTCACAGTACAATTCCTAATCAGGGCACATGTCTGTGTTGCAGGCTCAATCCCCAGTGTGAAGCATGCAGAAGGCAGCCAATCAATGATTTTTGCTTATCATGGGTGTTTCTATCTCTCTCTTTCTCCCTTCCTCTTTGAAATAAATTAAAATATTTTAAAAAAAGAATCTCCTTACCCTTGATGTCTCCTCTTAGGAATTTCCCATTCATTGACTTCCTTTCCTTCCAAAGATGATCATTGGCCATCTTTGTTGTATTCAGAGTTAAGCCTGGTCTTCCTCCCCTATTGCAATGTCACTATTGCAATAGTCTTGAATAACATCTTCCTTACTTTTGTTTTTAATTGAGAGAGGATGGGAGATTAGATAGATAGATAGATAGATAGGTAGATAGAAGAGAGAGAGAGAGAAACAGAGAGAGAGAGAGAGAGAGAGAGAGAGAGAGAGAGAGAGAGAGAGGAGACATTGATTGGTTGCCTCCCACATGTGCCCCTACCAAGGAACGAACCCACAATCTGGGCATATACCTTGACTGGGAATCAAACCCACAACCTTCTGGTATACAGGATGACACTCCACAACCAACTGAGCAACACAGGCCAGGGCTCTTCCTTACTTTAAAGGAAGTGCCAGAATCATTTTTCCCCTTTAACAGGTGGGAATGAAAAGGTGTTAAACAGACTAGACCTGAGTCTTGAGGGTCTCAAGGACTGGCCCTGGTGTTCTTCCTCAAGACAGAGGGAGGCCAAGAGAAAAGAGGCAGCTGGGTCCAGCCCTCACTCCAACCATTTCTGGACCTACCCTCCCGGCGTCAGAGGGGATGGAGAGATCGGGATGCACATACCAGAGAGGAGGACAAGCCAGGGGCAGCAGCCCCAAGAAGCCCAGGCCATGGAGTCTGCAGATGCTGGTGCTGGGTCAATGGAGGGACAGGGGAGAAGGGCAGGTCTCTTCCTTTCCTGGCCTCTTCCTCCAGGCCTTTCCCCGGCAGGAGCAGCCAGAGGGCAGGGGCTGGTGATGTGGAGATGTCCAGCTGGTTGATGAAGAATCCCCTTCTGCTTTGTTGTTTATGAAGGATCCAGGACCCAGAGTGGGCAGAGAAGCCTCTGCTTGCTACCAATCTCCAGGAATAAGGTGTGATCCTGCCCCTGGGGCAGAGTCCAAAGATCTGTTTCTCTCAGTCCCCTTTATCTACAGCAGCCAGCCTCTGGCCATTCCTGAATTCTGTTCCCCTCCCTCCGGTAAGCTGTTTCCCATTAGCTCCCCACCCCAGGCTCTGGCTACAATCCCACTTTGGCTGGAAGTTTATCCTTCCTCCTCCTTTAAGGTGGTATGTGTCAGAAAAAGCCAGTGACCTCTCTCCCTAGAACCTGGGAAGCCCCACTGCACTCCTCAGGGAAGTTGTTTATAGCTAGACAGTTACTTTCTTGAGCTGCAGTGAGTCCCCTCAGGAAAGCCCACTTTGAAAAAGTGCTGCTGGCAGAGGGTAAGACTGCCTTTCTCTTGGGACTGTTAATACCATTCACACCTGAGAGGGGGAAAGGCCCAAAGGCCCATTTGGAAGGATTAGGACAGTGGTTCCCAATGTGGAGCACACACTCCACAGGGGGGCAATTTGGTTTTTAAGGGGAGCTATTTGAGAATGAGTTATTGACAGTGAATTTTTTTGCATTTCTTATGGTTCTTGGGGCCTCATAGACAGCATATAAATATATATTGTGACACATTTATGCATTTCAGTTCTCTATTTGTAGAGGGCCAAATGGGAAGACACCTGGACATTCTTTAGATTGTTGTTGACTGGGCCCGAAATATTGGCGGAGTCCTGTCAGTTGCACTCCCGCCCTGGGAGTGCAGACATGTTCTTAGTTCCTGGCTTGTGTTTGTCCGGGCGGAAGGAGTGGGTGGGCCCTGGGCCCTCCCAGGTCCTTGTTTTCCTGTGAAACCCCCTTGTGGATTGGAGAATAAATAGATGTGCTGCGTGGCTCAGGAGGTCGTCAACTGTCTCTTCAGCAGAGGAGGTCGGCGCCCTCCCAGCTCCCAGCTTAAAATCTATCTCTGTGTCTTCTCTCTTTATTTCTTTTATTTCTCAATCCCTGGCCATCTCCACTTAGAACCGGTTCGTTCATCTCTTTCCATGCGGGACACAGAAAAGGGAGATCCCCGCCGCATCAGGCCCCCGCATCTATTATATGTTTTGAAACTTTATTTTTTACTAGTGGCCCAATGCACAAAATCTGTGCACATTAAAAGAGGATTAATTAGAGGAAATATTTTAATATTACTATTTGCCCTTTCTCTGTAATAAAAGTGTCAGAGATGAAAGAAAAATTAGTAAAAGGTATACGAAAATCTCCCTCCTGTCAGAGTCTGGGATGCACCGTGGGACCCAGAGTCAAGTCCTTGCCCACCCATGTGTGCCTCAAAATTGTGCAAAACCCATACCCAGCTGGCCCGCCACATTGGGTTAGATCCAGACCTAGCAGATCATATCCTTGTCAAGCTTTGCTGGGTGGGGGGCATTGCCTGAGGTTGCCTGGCCTGGTGTCAAGGCAGGGGGAGCAGCCCAAGGTCCACTGGCTCAGTACCAGGGAGGGGGGTGCACCTTGAGGTCCCTCGTCAAGTCCTGCTGGGTGGGGGGTGTGGCCTGAGGTCTCTTGTCAAGCCCCACTGGGTGGGGTACATGGCCTGAGGTACCCTGTCAAGTCCTGCCATGTGGGGGGCACAGCCCGAGGTGCCCCAGCCCAGCACTGGGGCTGGGGGGGGAGGATGCACCTTGAGGTCTCCTGTCAAGCCCCGCCAAGCTAGGGGCATGGCCTGAGTTTCCCGGCCTGGTGCCAGGGTTGGGGGAGCAGCCTGAGGTCCCCAGTCAAACCCCATGGGATTGGCGGAGGGGTGAGCACAGCTTCAGGTCCCTGCTGATTGCTCCCTTAAGTCTCCTTATGGGAACTTGACCTCTGCTGTGGGCATAGCCATCTTGTGTTATAGAAACCCCGCCTCCACTGTGGGCACCATCAGTTTTGTAGTGGAGTGATGGTCAATTTGCATATTCCCTCTTTATTATATAGGATTTCTTCATATCATTTCATATTATTTTTTTTTTAAATTTTCTAGTGATTTCTTCTTCAGTCCTTCAATTGTCCTCTTGTTCTTTTATTTTTCTCTTTCATGGATGCCATATTCTTTGGAAGCTTATTTAGACAAAGCTAATGGCCTTTTATGCTCCCTCCACTTGAAAAGGAATACACTTTTTATTTATTTATTTATTTATTTATTTAATTTTTTAATTAAAAATTTTTTATGTAACACTTTATTTCCCCCCCATTTTTATTAAGATATTATATGTGTACATATCTTACCATTGCCCCCCCCCCCACTCCCATACATGCCCTCCCTCCCCAGAGTTTTTTGTCCATTGGTTTTGCTTATATGCATGCATACAAGTCCTTCGGTTGATCTCTTATCTCCCTCATATTTCCCTACCCTCCCCCCTGTAATTTGACAGTCTGTTTGTTGCTTTACTGTCTCTGTATCTATCTTTTTGTTCATCAGTTTATAATGTTCTTTATTATCCATAAATGAGTGAGATCATGTTGTGTTTTTATTTTATTGACTGGCTTATTTCACTCAGCATAATGTTTACCAATTCCACCCAGGTTGCTGCAAATGATAAGAAGGAATTCACTTTTTTTTTTTTAAATAAATCTTTATTGTTCAGATTATTACAAATGTGATCCTCTTCCCCCCCTCAATTGCTCCCCTTCACCAGGTTCCCACCCCACCCTCTGTCCTTTCCCCATCCCCCATTGTCCTCATCCATAGGTGCACAGTTTTTGTTCAGTCTCTTCCGCACTCCCACTCCCCTTTTCCCTGAGAATCGTCATTCCATTCCCCTTCCATACCTCTGATTCTATTATATTCACCAGTTAATATTGTTCATCAGATTTTTTAATTCCCTTGGTTTTTAGATTCACTTGTTGATAGCTATGTATTTGTTGATCATAATTTTTATCTTTATCTTCTTCCTCTTCCGAAAGAACCCCCTTCAGCAATTCATATAATTCTGTTTTGGTGGTGATGAACTCTTTTAGCTTTTTTTTATTTATTTGTGAAGCTCTTTATCTGTCCTTTGATTCTGAGTGATAGCTTTGCTGGGTAGATTATTTTTGGCTGTAGGTTCTTGCTATTCATCACCCTGAATATTTCTTGCCATTCCTGTCTGGCCTGCATGGTTTTTGTTGAGAAATCAGCTGACAATCTTATGGGTGCTCCTTTATAGGTCACTACCTGCTTTTCTCTTGCTGCTTTTAATATTCTCTCTTTGTCTTTTGCTCTTGGCATTTTAATTAGGATGTGTCTTGGTGTGGTCCTCCTTGGATTCCTTTTGTTTGGGGTTCTGCGGGCTTCCTGGACTTGTGAGTCTATTTCTTTCCCCAGGTGGGGGAAGTTTTCTGTCACTATTTCTTCTAGTATTCTTTCGGTATCTTGCTCTCTCTCTTCTTCTGGAACCCCCATAATTCTGATGTTGGTTAGCTTGAAATTGTCCCAGAGGTTTCTTACACTATCTTCAACTTTCTGGATTCTCTTATCTTCTCCCTTCTGCAGAGGAGTGTCCTCTGGCTCTTTGTGTTCTAAATCTTTGTTTTGATTCTTGCGATCTTCCAGTCTGTTTTTAGGACTTTGTATAATATTTTTTTATTTCAGACAATGTTTTCTACATTTCTAGTTGATCCCTTATTATTTCTAGTTGCTTCCTTTTTATATCCTCATAGGTCTCATTTATTTTATCGACCTTTTTTAGGATATTGTTGAATAACCTTATAACTGTAGTTTTGAACTCAATGTCCAATCTTTTCTTTTCCTCCATCTCCTTCCTTTGTATCCTTCTTCTTGTCTGCATTTTAGTTGTTTCCCTGATTTGATGGAATAGCTTTGTGTGCTAGGTGTTATGGTAGAGCCCAGTAGCACAGCCTTCCCAGTTACCTGCAGTGGACAGTCTTGGTGTAGCCCTTTGTGGGCAGTGTGTGCAGTCTTGTTGTTAAGCCTTGCTTATTGTTGGTATCACTGGGAAGCGTTGATCTCCAAGCCAATTGGCTGTGAGGATCAGCAGTGTCTCAGCTAGGAGGGCTTCTGTACTCTGCTTGGATAGGGCAGGGTCTCAGGGTGGTGCAGACAATCTTTGGTTCCCTGTCAGTCTCGCCTTAGAAAAGTTCTGCTCCTGGAGAGTTTCGGAAGATTGGTTGCAGGCGCGCGTGCACCTCTTTGGTAAAGGCGCAGACAAACTTTGGATTCCGGCCAGTCCCTCCTTAGAGAAAGCCAGCCTCTGGGAGAGCTTCTGTGCTCAGCCACTGATGGGGCGGAGTCTCGGGTTGGTACAGACAAACTTTGTTTTCCCTTCGGCTCCTTCCCAAGACCCACAGTAATGGCCTCTGGCTTCACACACCTCCAAGAGATCTCTGCCTGCTGCCTGACAGTCTGGCCTCTCCCTGTCTGTGGCCGTCTATCAGAGCAATAGGGTGATTCTGTTTTCCTCTCGAACAAGAAAGCCAGCCGCCTGTTAGCTGTTCACCCTCTCCGTGCTCCAGGAGTAAGCCAGTAGCGAACTCAGCCCGGCCTGCCCTCTCTGCACACCGGGAGTAAGCCAGCAGCAATCTCGGTCCAGCCCCTCCTCTCTGCGCCGGGAGTAAGCCAGTGCTTTTTCCGCGCACACAGTTCTCCATACCTTCACAGTTCCTGAGGTTCAGTGTACCTTCTCTCTCTTTCCCAGATGGCAGAGCCTCCTCTCAGCTAGCTGTCCTGCGCTTCAGGGCAATGCCTCCCCTGTTTTTCAGTTCTAAATTCAAATTTGTTGTGGTAGGCTGCATTTGGGTGTCTACCCTATGCCGCCATCTTGGTTTCTCCCAGGAATTCACTTTTTAAATAATAATTAATTGCCGAAATCGGTTTGGCTCAGTGGTAGGTCCCAGGTTCGATTCCTGTCAAGGGCATGTACATTGGTTGCAGGCACATCCCCGGTAGGGGGTGTGCAAGAGGCAGCTGGTCGATGTTTCTCTCTCATTGACATTTCTAGCTCTCTATCTCTCTCCCTTCCTCTCTGTAAAAAATCAATAAAAAATATTTTAAATAATAATTAATTTTATGTCATGGGGTGGGGAACATCAGAATTTTAG